ATGTACAGCCGCCCATGCTGCACAGTGGTCATGATAGGAAAACTGTGTTGTCAGTGATTTTTTGTTAAGGAACTGATTGTTTTGTGACGGTAAGTGGTCACTGATTTCTTGTGATTTGATGGTTTGTGACTTGTTTTGTGGTTGACTCTAAATTCCTGTTGTGCAAATTGGAAAGCATGTGTGTGTGTGAAAGCTATTGAGTAGCTACTGTGTGCTCCTGTGTTGTATCTGTGCAGCTAGTTCTGTGTATAGCTGTGTACCTATAATCTTTCTTGCTTTCTTGGTGCTTGAGCAGACAAAAGGCAGAAGTAACAAACTGAAGCCCCACAGAGTGCAGAAGTAACAAAAGTGACAGATGAACAAAAGTTTGCAAAAGGTTTTACAAATGCAAAAATAATACAAATGCAAAAGTTTGCTTTGTGAAAGCAATGCGCAGCCTCTTTTTCACCCCTCAGCAAGACAGATGTCTTATGCATTTGGATCCACCACTATGCCAGCATCGATGTCTGCAGACACGTTTTGGCACGCTGCCCTGGCCAGGTCAACAGCCTCCTCTTCAGTCTTGCCAGCATTCAAGGCATCTCTATTTGCCTCAGCGTAGGCAGAGCTTGTCTTTCTGTGCTTAAAGTCTTAAAGGTGGCCTTGAGACCACATGCAGTTTTTGGCTTTGGTTTAGCTTTTGCCTTTGCTTTGCCCTTGCCTGCAGATTTGGCTTTGGCTTTGGCCTTTGCCTGTCCCTTTTTCTTGTTCCTCTTCACTGGGGAAATGGTCTTCTGAAGCATCCATTGCCTCAACTCATCCAATTCATCAGCTGACATACCCAATTGAGACAAACCTTTAGAAGATGTAGCTGCAGCGCCACCAACTGCTTTTGAACAACTTGAAGTGGATGCAATACCCTTGGTCTTCTTTGGTGTGGTAGCATCACTTACCTTGGTGCTCAAAATCTTCTTGAAGATGGACTCATCAGTTGAAGCAGGCTCTGGAGCATCTGTTGCATCTGCAGGCTTTGGGTCTCCTGCAACTCCAGGAGCGACTTCTTCACCCTGTCCCTTCTCCAAGTCAATGATCTCCTTCTCTGTGGTCGATGCTTTCCTCATAGAGGTGGCATATTTGCTGCCAGAAGCTTTCAACTCTCGGTATTGTGAGCTTGAGATTCTGATCTGTTGGTCCACCATGTCGATGAAATCTGTATCGCAATGTTTTGTATAGTTCAGCCTCTTCTGCTTGTCCCTGGCCAATGCAGCTATAGATTGCCTCAACTTTTTGGAACTAATGACGCCATTGGGACACACTGCAAACAGGTGTCTGCTCAAAAGGGCCATGTGGCCAGAAAAAAATGTTGGATCTGGTGATGTCTTCAGTTGATTGCCATTGCCCAGCAACAACCTGCTCAAATCCCAAGTGCCTTCTCTGACTCAAAGATTCCCAAAACACTTCTGCAAGTCTGCAACCCCCACACATGGGCCCGGACACAGCCTGCTCCTCTTCATGGCTGTGCACACAGATGGAAAGGTGAATAAAACATAACTAGTGGTTGTGACAATCATGTGTTCCGTGCAAAATGTTTGTTCTGTGAGCTTTGCTGTGCATCGCTGTGAACATGACATGTGCTGCAACATACTTGTTCTGTGAATTTTGCTGTGCGTGTGAACATGAAAGTTCTGGCTTCCAAATAGTTCAGAAGCCAAAAAGTAAGTCACACAAGTGGAGAAAGTGACAAAGCGAACTCTGAAACACAAAAGTATAGTTCAACACACGCACAGGTGCACAAGTAATTCCACAGCCCACAAGTGCAAAAGTAATGCCAACACATGCAGGAAAAAAGTAATCCCAAAGCAAAACGACACAGTAATCTCATCAACTTTCTTTTCTTTTCTATGCATTATAATGTCAATTCTCTAAGGGTTAACTTTGAGATAAAAAAGCAATTATCTCTAAATAGATACCTCTATTTTTTAAATTGCCTCAGAAAGTTAAGGATAGTTATATAGAGTTATCTAATTCCTCAGAATTGTCTTAACTGATCTATAGGGCAATAAACATTGGAAAGGCGCCAGGGCCTCTGATGAAAATTCCTTCTAGGAAGCAGGCGGCCTCTGCGAAGACGCCAGGAACTCCAAAGTGATGGGGCGACATGGCCAATGTGGCATTTGCCGTTGACGGCGTTTTGCAAGGTTGCGCGTTGAAGAGTTGAGGACGCCCGGGCGCCAAACAAGTAGGTCAACCTCTGTGATGAACGCCATGAAAGGCAAGGCAGCCTTGCCGGTGAGCCTTCTTCTGTTGCAGGTCGGGCGCTCGCGGCAATCCAAAGGGTTGGCTTTGTGCAAATCTCTTAGAAAAAAATGTCTTCTGGATGCTCCAGGCCCGAGCCAACTGAGGTAAAAATTTATTGCTGAGGCCTCCCTCTTCGGGTTCTCCCCAGGTGGAGTTTTTGCCGGCGCGTTCCGCAAATTCTGCGCCCGTATTGAAACTGTGAGGGGCGCCATCTGCAGGCACGCCTTCCTTCCAAAGCTAAAGGCAACAAAGTTTGTGGATAGAACCCTGCGCACCAATTCTGGCTTCTATCTCTTGCCACTTGTGCAAAACCTTGTGAGGCACTCGCGCCGAGAGATCTTCCAAAGCCCCAGACCTCTTGAACGGGCCCTGCGCCGATTCTATTGGCAGCAGGCCCAACTTCGAAAACAATCGCTACCTACCAAGACCGCATCGATCCCGGCAGATGCTTGAGCGCCATGGGCCGCAACCAAGCCCTGATCTCCTGATCCTTACGAGATAGGGGTTGGGCTGGGGCTCGTCCGCCTGGGTTAGCGCCGTTGAAGCTGAGTTTAAGGGGTTCTTTCAGGTGCGCCGTCCAGTTGGCAGGGGGAAGGGGCAATTGCGACACGCAAGCAAAGCTTGCGCTGGGCTGCGGGCATTGGAATTGGCGTTGGGCTCGATATGGTGTCCGGAACAGGCTGTTTGTCAGGGTCGATTGGGTTTTGTGGGTTTTGTGGGTTTTGTGTTCAGAACATGCTGTTTGCCGTGTGTTTTGTGAGGCCTCGTGGAGATGGAATGGGGATAGGTTCGTACTGCAAATCTTTGGCGCAAACAAGCCACAAAACCTTCTGCTTGCTTACGCAGATTCTTCTCGTTGCGTTGATGATTGGTGAACAGTCGCTTGTGGACCAACAAGCACATGGACCAAGCTGGGCAGGAATCTGTCTGTAGGAGTGACGAAAGAGCACACAGACAGGCTCCATTGGAAACGCGCGCAGCTACCGTCACCAGGAGTCGTGTCTCGAAATGCGTGGAGAGTGGAAAGCGCTAGACCCTGCACGGAACTCCGCCTGAGCTTGGCGTGTGGCCAACTTCCAACAAGCGTCAAAATCAATTTCGCGAAGCCTCAAATGTGTCACAGATGAACTTGAGGAACCCGAGCCTGATGATGATGATGATGATGACGAGTCTGAAGCTTTTGCCTTGGGCTGCGTGCTTGCAGGCAACATGTTGAAGAAGAACAAGGAACCCGTGTGGGCCTCGCAGATTTTATTGGTATCTTTGATGTTGTCACAAGCAAAGCAGAGCGGCAGTTCCCAAGACCGTTACTGACTTGACGATCCTCGCGCCTCGCGCAGAACGAGCAAATCTCGCGCCAAGCAATCCTTCTGTGCCTCATGGTCTGAATGCTTTTTCCAAAATGCAGCGTGCCCACTTCTGCAACTCGCACGCCGTGTCCTCCAAAAATGCAGGCTTCAACCCACCATCTTGAAACTCATCGCAACCCTTACAAAAATCAACAAAACGAGCAATCTTCGTCTGCTGGCGCTGCGGACCTTCTGGAAACATTCATGGCGCTTTGTCATGATATGCTGGACACACTGGCATCGTCTATGATGCTTCTTACTCAGACAATTGGTGGCAACATGCACCCACGCAGTCTCGAACAAAAAAGCAACCGCTACCACGTCGAGGCAAACAACCAGAGCAGCTTAGCAGCTTGCGCATTTTCCAAGGGGTCAACGTCTGCAAAGCGGCAGCGCAAGTGGCAAAAGTGCCGCATTTGCTTGCAAGCAACTCCCCAAGACGCAGCAGCTGTAAAATATTGAACCTTTGATCCGCAGAAAAGACTGGGGGGCTTGCCTGCAACAGGCTCCGTTGATTCAAGCGCTAAAAAAATAGTGCCTTTTTCTGTGGGCTCCATTCTTGCAACAACGAAGTGACATGTCTGGTCATATACTGCGACACAGGATTCACAAATGGTGTTTGCACGGCGGACCAGCCTACCCTTTGCAACAGCTGGGGGCAAGAACCGCCGAATCCTTTACAGAGACCTGTTGCACGTGTCTGTTCGAAAGTCTTGTGGTGCTTTTTCAAGCCAAGGTCTGACCAAGACAGCGCCAAAGCTGTTCGACATTGGTCGAGCGGCTTGTTCTAGCGCCCGATGTAGCTTTGACAGCGTGACCAAAAAGAAATCATCCAGCTGGGGCCTTATTCGCACCAAATCCAAATAAACGGGTTCGTATGGGCGAATCTAGATCTCTGTAAATCAAGCTATCTTTCCTTTCCCGCATGGCTTGACGTCACACGTGGCTTGACTCGACGAGCAAGAACGAATATACTGTATCTGCAAGCCGCAATATCACATTGGAGCCGACAAACTTGCCCAAGCACTCCAAAAAGATACCATCATGCACAGTTGGTAAGGCAAAAGATGCTAGCATCAACCGTTGCGGCATCACTCGCATCACCAAGGATGTCATAGCGCTAAATGTTGCGACCACTTTTTCGCTCCAAAACTGTTTTTTTGTTCGACTCCCTCCCCTCACCCCCGCTAAAACTCACTTGGTTTGCACAGGCTTTCGTACCAGTCACACACCACAGTTATATGATCTTAACATTGCATGCATACCTATCATGTATATTACATCTGTGATTGTATTCCCTCCTACTTCGTTCAGAGCTAAAAGGCAAATCGGGCCACAACAAAGAACACAGTGCGCCGTTCCAAAGCAGCGCACGCTCATGGTAGACGGTCCCATCAGGGTGACCTAAGCCACAATCAAACTGAATGATACGGGCATTGTTTTGGAATGGTAGATATAGATGGTATAGTCGTATAGTGGTATAGGCATTGGCATTGATTATTGATTGATGGATTCCGTGTGTCAACATTCTTGCACTGCTCACATGCACCCCTGCCTTTGGCTCTTCGCAGCGAAAAGCAGATCTCCGAAATTTGAAGCCTCCAGCCTATGCCACCCAAGCCACTTCCCATGCATAAAGGTGATGTGGGTGAGCCCACAACACCCTTAGGGCCGGAGAACTCTGAGATGTGGACAGCAACTAGGAGGTCTGTGCCTGGACGCTGTGCGGTGTAGGACCCACTTGTGCATTTTTTACACACGCAATTCAGGCAAAGGACACCTTGGACTTGTGTTGAAGCCGAACACTCAGTGATCTGCATGCCCGGATAGCTGACTTTTGCATCTTGCGAGCATCCATGCCTTGGCATGGGAGCAGTTCTTGAAGCAGGAGGGGATTGTGTGGAAAAAAGAGGCAGCTCAGGTTTGTCAACCACATCCCTTTTCACAAAGGCAACTCCCTGGAATGCTGGACCAGCAAAAATCAAAGCTATGACTGAGAAACAAACGCGTCTTCGGAATGCCACCCTTGGAGAGACGTCCTTGGGGACTCAGTTTCACTGGGTCCATGATAAAGCAACAAACGGATTTGAACGTTTTGAGTTTAGACCTCCTGAGGGTCCTGTGCCGGTCTTGATCGTTTCCAAGGCTTACATTATAGTTCTTCGTGGCTACAACCAAAGAGCATGCATCGGGAAGCCAGCGAAAGCCAACTTGACTAGGGAAAGCCATGCACAACCTAGTTCTGGTTCTTTTTGCTCCCATCAAGTCAATGAAGCAAGCAACAAAACCCGACTCCTAGAAAAGTGCACATGTGGATAGAGCGTGTATTCTGTTGGGTCCAACTTCATAGTTGTCCATCTTACAAGCTGCCTGGTCTACTTTGTTCATTTGGATTTGGGCCCCGAAAGGATAGCTTAAAATACACATGTCTTTTCATGAGTTACATGTCACTTGAAAAAAAGCATGCGCCGCATTCAAGCCGCAGCCAAAACTCAAACTCTCAGATGCTGGCCTTGCAGTTGTTGCTCCAGGCAATCAGGGTCCGCCGACACGACCAAATCTATCTCAGGGACCTTCAAAAGTGGCCAGTAACTCTTGCAAACTGAAAACATTCCAAGGAAAGAACTGCCACGCCAAATGCAGTCCCGCGCAAAACATCCGCATTTGCAAACCCTTCTACCTCAACCAGAATTATCACCAAAGAAAACAACTTGCAGTTGGCAGCCAGGGCCAGAACGGACGCTCCAGAAAGCATCTCTTGGATGATCCTCAAAACAGTTTGACCGAGAAAGGCAATGGGTACAACAAACAATTTTTGCTGTGCTTGGTTCGAAAGTGCGAGCATGTGGGACCCGGTTTGAACCCACATAGAAGTGCAAGTGATTATCACACACCGATAGGCAAAGCTGATCAATTGCAGTGTAGTGCAAACCTGTCTCTCAGCTTTCCAATCTGGATGGCTGCGTGGCAGTTGAAAAATTGGAGGGTGCCCTCCTAAACTCAAGCAGTTGTCTCACACTTTAAAGCGATTGAGCAAGGTCATCCATCGGTAAACCCGGTCAAAGTAGATTGCGGAACGCCCTTTTGACATGGCAGCAGCGGGTATAATATAATTATGTGGCCAAGCGACGTAGGGAGCTTCCCCTTTCTTTTAAAGAGAAACAATGAGGAAACACATGGACATGAAAAACCAGTGGAAAACTATGGTGCCTGACTGCTTTGTGTGCTAAGGGTGAACTACCTGAGGTTTGATTCTGAGTCGCGAGTTGACGCAAACACATCGCAAAACATTTGCGCAGTGGAACTGATTCATGTCTAGCAAAGCAATGCAAGGGCAAACCACCAAGCAAACGTGCCCAGGAAGGCGCATGCCCAGGTTTCTGGTCGCTGGGACCGCTGAGCATGTGAATATGCGTCGCATGCGTTATGGGACGTGCAATGGCGCCCTGAGACTGGGTACATCTGGGTACTCAGGTACTCAAGAGCGAAGCTTCTTCCAATCCACCTCACGTTTCGCTCTGTGTGTAAAGCCTTCTAATCGCAGGCTTTTGCTAACCGAAAGCCTACTCCTAGAGTAGGCTTATTGGATGCCTATATGTCTATATATGTGCTTGTATATTTGAAAGAGTGACTCTGTACATGACATGTTGACACTACAAAGCACATCTTCACAGTGGCCCAAAACAGTCAAGCACACAATTCTACAGTATATAGAGTTGCGGCAATTGGCAGCTCTGCTACATCTGTTGGAGGTTGGAGGCTCACCTGTTGGGCCCTTGCAACCAAATGGTGCAAACAAGCAGCGTTTGCGTGTAGGCAGCAAGCTCCTTAGCGACCTTAGCGAACAAGCTCCGTAGCTCTTTGACATGCAAACAAGCAAACGACAATTTACGGGCTGCCGACATGCTCAGAAGCTTCAGATGGCCTTCGGCACGGGTTTGACGGAAAATAAGTTAATCATCTTGGATCGTCAAGCGTCTTTTCCGCATCTTGGCATCGCAACACACTTTGCTAAATCTGCATCAACCACCTATTTTTGGCCAGCTCAACCCCGCTGGCTTGTTAGACTATATATTTGCGATATGTGATCTCGTCAGGCAAAAGATCTGAGGCGGTTTGCCCCTTTGGGATGCCGATCTGATACTGATCTGCCTTTGTAAGCTTTGCTGTTACAATTAACATGTAGGGCTAGAATCCCATACCAAACAAAGCTAAGCATAGCCAAGCTATAAACGGACATTATGTTAACTTGCCACCCTTCAGACATAAAACCTATTCCAAGGTCCATTCTCCTGCATTTCTCTTCTTCCAGGTGGAACGAACCCCGTGCTGCTCTGAAGCAAGTGAGGCGAGGAGTGAGGCGGCTTCAAAAATGTCGTTGGCCACTCTGAAAGTGACCATCACTTGACTTCTACCAAAGTTGTCAGATATAGGCGTGACTTTGGGCCTGCGGGTGGTGGCGTGTGTATCGCTGGTGTACCATCCGATTTTAAGGCACGAGCACAACATCCAAACAGCAAAGCTCGGCTGTGATTGTGGAGCTCGGTGGAGCTGAAGGACAGCCTAGCTAAAGTTGTGTGGTGAGAGGAAGTGAAGCTGACGGTGTCACTACGGTGTCACCAGTGTTCGGCATTTTCGAGACGCTAACTGCGTGGCAGTCTTCCAGATGGCTCTGAAACAGCTGCTCTTCTATATAAGTGGTTCAATTAGCCGCCAGCTTGGATTCGGTCGTGGCGGTTAATTGGACACAATATGCTGGGAGAACCGTAAAACCATGAGCTGCAACAAAAACGGTTCGTGCAAATTCCTGAGTATGTAAAGAGATGTGGGTTATCAAACAAAGTGTAAACAAAGTCGTGGGTGTCGGCCAGCTGATTTGTCAGAACGCTACTGTCAACAGGTAGAGAACATCTGAAATTAAAGCCAGTCTGAAATTAAAGCCAGCGCATCATGTAAACTTTGATGGAATCTGTCAAGAAGGAATGTGGCCGCGCGCTGCACAATGCCCGCAAGTGTGACAATCTTGTAGAGGACCCCGGAAGGCACAAATGCTATTGGACTTCTTGATTGAACTCGACAAATGAGCGGGAAATCCTTCAGAGTGCTATCACAGGTGGCACGGACGTGGACTAGCAAAGCTTCCTAAATGTGGTTCTTTGGAGGAAACCATTCACTGCCACTTGCAGTAGTACTCAAAAACCATCAACAATTTCACAGACCTTCGGCAGCAGTTACGCCACAGCAAGCACCAACTAAATTAGTCAATGGTAATTTTAATCAAAGCACCTTGGGATTGATCCCGAAAAACGGCGACGACTGTTAGCCAAAGACGGGTGCACATTTCCCTCTTGGCTCATTGCAATACTCCTCATCATGCTTCACATGCCGTACCACAAATGCGGGTCTGCTACATAGGTTGGCAGCCAAAACATGGTTTTATTAGACCCTACGTTCATCATCATGTTGAGATGTATGTCTGGCAGATTGAATAAAACTGTGTCGGCCATGACTGCTGGACTATCAATGTAATGCGCTCAAAGAACCGCAAGGAATGCTCCAAAAAGTGCCCCCTTTACAATTCGAGTGGACATGGTTGTAGCGGTAGCTACTAGTGTATCGTGACTCAGCAAAGGGCGTGATCACTTCAAGCAACTCCGAGACCTGCGAAAAAACATGAAAGTTCGGTGCGGCATACTACGCAGAACAAACAAAATTCTGTCAACACACTTGGATGTCGGAACAAATTGAAAACAATTACAAATGCCTGCGCAGAAAAACCCTCGGACTGGAAAGTAGGCGGCTGCACTGGGACTTTGCTCTCTTGTCTGACAGGCCTCAAAAAAAACTCGTCCGTCTGTGCTTGCGTTGCCGACAAGACACGTGGCTCTGTTGTCAAGCTTCGTTTGCAGCTTGAATGTTTGTCATATGTTGTCTCCCCCCAAAAATCCTACCTATTAAAAGAGTGCAATGAATATGCATTCAGTATTCACAGTGCTTTGGTTCACTTTGTGATTGTTTTGTCACGTGTGGTTTTGGGCGTGCTTTTGTGGAAAAAAATGACTAATATCTAGTGATATATGACATATCGTAGTGTAGTTCTTAGTGAGCAGTTCTTGATCTGCTCAGATATACTTAGAAAATGTTGTCACGCAAAACGTGCGCTAAACAATCTTTCCCCAGGCATCCTTGTCTCCGGACTGGTCTCCTCACATCTGCCCATTTGTCTCTACACATGTTTCCCCGCCTGTCTTCTCCCTACTTGTCTGCTTCTGTGGTTTGCCCTTTGTCTGCGCTGCTTCCTTGTCTCCCCACTTGTCTCCGTACATGTCTCCCGCCTTGCCCCCCAAGTTGCCTGCTTCTCCTTGTCTCCCCACTTGTCTCCGTACATGTACATGGCAAATTCCAGCGCAAGGCCAGAGGATTCGGGCCCAGCAAGCCCGGCCAAGAGATTTCGATCCACCACAACCTTCCATCCATGACAGTGCTGATGGCACGCCTGTGTGTGTGTGTGTTCAAGGTGGTCATTTTGCTCTGAGGCGCCACATTGAGACTGGTAGTTGCAAGGCCTTCAATCCGAATAGGCCCATGGGCACTCATGTCCCACAGACCTGGCCTGAATTGATGAGACTTGCCAAATCCACTGAGACCGACGCAATCAACGCCCTTCGTTCTGCCTGCGTCCTTTGTGGCAGGTACTGCAGCAAGCCTGATGCAATCTTCCAGCACCATCTGCAAGATCATGCAGCTGTGGTGCAAGAAGCCAAGGAATGCAGTGACCTCCTTCAGAACCAGGCCACAGCGGGGAGACCTTGTTTCTGCAAGCATGCGTTTCTGGTTGAGGCTCGAGCGCAAGTTCTGGTCCTCCCAATACTTGGCCAAAGCATCCGCAGGAACGGCCTGGTTGTGTTTGAGCCCTGCCGGTGCTGATCTGGTGGGCGCAGGCATTGGGGGTGGTACAACTTCATGCAAGTCAGGATCCTGATTGGCAATCACGTGGAGCATGGCAATTTGCAGAATGGCACACATTGATGCCCTTTCCGATAGGTTTGATTGCCGTCCACTCTGATTGGACGAAGCTGAACAGCATCTCATGACCAGTCATGTGACCCTGGGACCACGTGCACTTGATCTCCATCGTCAGAGGGAGTTGTGGAATTTTGTCCTGGTTGCCCTGGAGAAGTTGCAGAAAGCTGACACAGCCTTAACCTTGAGGCGCGAGTCTCAATTGCAGGCAACTGCCTCCACGGATCAGTTCCTGATGTTCTTCCAGATGAACCAGCAAGGGATTCTCCCTGCGCTCCTCTCGACTACGGCTGCCTGGAAGAAGGATATTGGAAACCGTTGAGAGTGGTCCTCTTTCAACAAGTCTGCCAGACAACACTTGACCGGACGCTCACCATTGCCAAGCTGTCACAGAACAGCAAGGAATGGGAGAATGCAGTGACAAACCAGATCATCACCCAGAAGGGGAAATGGCCGAGAAGCACCTGGAAGACTTGTTGGAGGCTGCGCAAGCGGACCATCATGTCCTATGCTTCAAAAGTCTGAAGAACACATTCGACGCCACATTCGACACCAGCAGATGTGTGCTGTCTGCTCCATTTGGAAACGACTTCATCTTCGGACGCGCAACTCCATATGGCTGGTGATCCAGGCGCGGGTTCGCCCGCGCACACAGAGGGAGAACCCCTTGGCCACTTCCTTGGTCAAGTCCTCAAGGCAGCTACAACAAGAGGAGGTGAAGGGAGCTTTGATTGCATTGCCCTTGATCAAGCCAGACAACCTTTGCTTCATCCATGCCTCTTTGATGGCCTTCTTTTGGGGTTTCTTGCGTCTACGCAATTGCAACTGGGTGGGGCCGCCCAGATCCTGATTGATCTTTGTAGCTCACGGCTCTCCGTGGGTCGATGTGTGCGAGCTTGAGCCCTGGCGTGAGTGGATCACCGATTGGGATTAGGGACACTGGCGCTGCGCATACTTATGCCACCGTCCCTGATCACCAGTGAGCTCACGATGAAAAAGATTACGCTTCAGTCCATGATCTCAGAATGGCACAATTACCTTGGTATGATCACAGCCTTGAAAAGGACAATCCAAAAGAGTTTTCTCTGCATTGGGGGTTCCAAAATGAATGGGGGTTCCAAGTACCCAGGTTGAACACCAACCAGAGAACAGGTAGAATCCTGAAGATTCTGGACGTGGCCGCCAGGATAGACTGATTACCTGGCTCCCCTACCACGCTGGCTCCACTACCACGCTGCCACAGCGCTTTAACAGTGGTACTGGGAACATCTTGAAGGCGCAGGATTTTAGTTGGCTCAAAGACTTGGCTCTGCTATCCCTGCGGCAATCATAATGACAGTCAGTCATCCAGGGGCAGCTGGGGAAATTATTGATTCCATTAATACTTAGCGTGGAACTCAAAAATCGATTTTCCAAGTTATTCTTACAAAGCGTTCCCCCTACATGACGCGGAGATGGTTTATATGAACTCGGAACGCTGTTTCTAGGTTTTAGCCGTAGAAAATTGGAACTTCCACATAGGACAGGTCACACGGAAGAGTGGAGGTGCGCAAAACTGTATGAAATCCGCACTGCACGTGTGCAAAGCTGAACCCTTCAACGCTTCCCAAAAAACAGATTGCTTGCGTATCACTCCAAAAGCAAGCTGTGCGCAACGTTTCATGAAAATGACAGCTCAAAGTTCTTTTTCTCTGCTCGGCCCTTCTTAGCACTGCCTCCGCCTCTTATTAGGCGTGGTCATTCGGATATCCTCATCCGAATCATCTTCGGTTGGAGACTCAGAGGTTGGCAGGAAGTCACAACGGCAGTCGCGAGAAATAGACTGCAGGCGGCGCCAATCGTTCCTTGATTGAACACCAAACAAGGATTCGTAAGTGTGGACACAGGCTTCCCTTTCACCCTGTGAAACAAGAAATGAAAGGAACCATTGGTAGCCAAATGTCTCAGAGACATAGCACTCAATGAAAGCCATACCACACGACAAGCAAAGCTTCTCATCTTTGATCCCCTTCAAAAGCCAGACAAGCTCCAAGGTCTTGTCACCCAACGGCATGACTCAAAACTCTAATCACAGCTCAGGGCCAAAAGCAAAAGCTACAGAACAGCAGTCTTGAAAGCAAGCAACTCTAAGCGAACATTTTTCTAGACTTGCAAAACGCTGCTGCGGTTCTGACACATTGCGCCTGTGCCCTTTTCACTCTCGGCTCTGAGCAGGCTTTCTGAGCGCTTTGGCTCTGCGCTTCGGCTTCCGCTTCGGCTTTGCCGCCAAATTGATCCAAATCTGCGCACCAGGAGGATGATGATACGGCTCCGGCTTTTCATAAAGCTTTGGGTTTTCAACACGCCAAGCATAGACCTTCTTGTAGCTAATCTTGTCCAACTCAGTCACTTTGTGTTCGTTCATCAAACCCTCCAGGGATTGCCCAGCAACATCTTGGAGAACTCCATGTTCATTGCGACTTGCAACCAGAAAGCATTCTGCAATGCAAACTTCTCCAATGATAGTTTTCGATCCACACAAAGCAACTCCAATGGTCTCTCCAACTCTAGACGTCGCCGAGCCCCTCAGCTCGATAGTCTTCTCTCCAGAAACGAGCATCTGCGCCCACGGGCACTTGACCAACAATGCGCGTGACAGCGGCATAACAAAGCGAGGCGCGAGTCCTGAGATTGAAGTTCTGTCTAGCTTTGATGTCGCAAAAAACAGCTGAAGGCAGCTTGTGTGTCTCTGTTTGTCCTGGAGCAGTTCGGTGTTAGACGACTCTGTTTTTGGGCGGTTTGAAGTGGTTGGTTTTGGACAGGTTTTTACACGTGTATTCTGTATTCTTGAACAAAAGCAGGTGTGACAAGAATGGATGCCCTTCCCTGCTTCGCTGCGAACTTCAACTAACTTGCGCCCGCAATTCGACGATCGAATTCTATTTCTGATATTTAACGCTTAATCATTTCATGAAACACAAGACTCAAGACTGCTGCCGGAGAATGCTGACGACCATCTTGCAACATTTTTCTCCACTCGGACAGTTCTGGCTCCGGCTGCAATCCATCAAGGACCGTTCTGGCTCCGGCTGCAATCCATCAAGGACCGCCTACTCCACATCCAGCGGCACATCGGCAGCAGCACCCACAGACAGCACAGGATCCGTGTCGGCCGCTTCTTCTTCTTCACCCTCCTCTCCGTCGGCCTCCTCGGCGGCCTCCCCATCCTCCTTCACAACCTCACCAGCAGCCTTGCTCGTGTCCTCTGTCGCAACGGTAACGCCACATAGTGCATCTTGCCGGGCTTCCTGAAAGTGAAACAAAACGTGTACTTCCATTTTGAGATGAAGCGCATCTGGAATTCGCAACTACTCCTCCTTGCGACATATAGATCATCTAGAGCACGTTTTGATATTCATTGAGGAGATGAAACCCACACTGCAGGAACCCCAAACATTGACGGTGAAAAATGATCTATATGCTCGCAGGAAATAGTCATGGCTTTGAAAGGCCTGACAGTTGAGGCAGTTGAGAAAGAGGTCCAGTCTTCAGTGAGAAGTTGCACATTTCAATGTCTTTGAAAACAGGCACACAAAACACTTCAATTTCAGGTCAGCGTCGATCATGCTCTCCACCTCTGATATGGGCTTGCCCTGTCGCAACATCTCGGCTGCGTCTTCAGCAATTGGTCGAAAATCTTTCCAATTCAAACCCTTGCCACCAACCTGAGACGAGGCAAATATTCTGCTGGCGTTTATTAATGCACAGGTTTCTGCTTTTCTACCGAACGGTGTTGGAATCTCTCCGTGTTGAAACTCAAATCCCCTTTTTG